TTCATTGTCTTTTTCAAGTTTGAATATTATTTTATATTTCATATCATGAATAGTTGAGTCAGGCGTCGCTATGGTCTTGTAATGTATATCCACTTGTTTAAAAATGTACATGTAGAACAAAATTCTAGTTGACTTTTGTACTCAACTAATCCACAAAACACTTGTTACAATGAAAATACTGTAAATTTAATGCTGAAATTAACTCTTTATTTAAACGTTAAAAAACTTTTATTCATAGATGTATCAACTAAAGTATTAAATGTGACAACAAAACAGTAAGCGGTCACACTATATTGTTATTAAATGTAATTATTAATACGGTTACTAACTGATACATTGGTGATTTAATAATGATTATTTCAAACTAGTTATCATTAAATCACCAATGTATCAGTTAGTAACCGTATTAATAATTACATTTAATATCAATATAGTGTGATTATTTCAAACTAGTTAACGTTATAGAACAACAGTTATTATAAATAACTGGTTATAATATCCTTAAACTGTCATTGACTTATTATAATAAATCGAAATATAAATGTGTTTTGAAATAGATCTTCCAGGTGTTCATTTTGATTTATGAAATGATACTTAATAAAAATAATATATAACTTTTTTTTATTTTTATTTCTAATTTATTTCTATATACAATCAAAAACAAATTAGATTAAATGAATTATTGCGTTTATTGCAATTCAAGTCATACATTTATTCAGTGTAAATATGAAAATATCCCTCTATTATTTTCTAACAGCCTTTTCCAACACTTATGTTGGCATTTGTGAAGAATTTCATTCATAAATTTGAATTTTCGCGCAGTCGCACAAACTAATTCTCTTTTCTTTTTTCGTATATATTTTCAACCTGACGCTTGAGCTTTTAAGCGTTTTTAATACATTTTTACTCAATGCCGGGTACATTTGCACCAAAGACGCACTCAACAACGCAAACGCAGTACAAAATGTCACTGCAAACATGAAAGAAACAACTTAAACAATGTGACACTTTGAGTGGTCTACTCTTTTCTTGTTGGGCTAATGCCATCAATGCGCACACAAACGAAACAACTTGAATTGTATGACACTTTGAGTGGTCTACTGATTTCTCGCTGGGCTATTTGCTTGTAAGCACACTGCATTTCGTTTCGCTTGTGGTAGGTTTGAGGTGCTGCGAAAGTTTGTGTTTGACATTTTCCTCGAGTAAGGAGACTTTGTGCTTTCAAGAGGAAATTTTTGTGGTTTTGTTTATGTTTAATGTAGGTATATGGGACATAAACATTGCATGAAAGTGAAATAAGTTTACTAGGAGTTTTATAATTGGCTCTTGTTTAGCTGAATTTATTGAGCGACGAGAGTGAAAGTAAAAACCGAAAGCTAACTATGCAAAAAAATTATAATGGGAAATATTTTGTTTACAGTTGTTTTACTTAATTTATACATTGCAATTCATTTTGAGAAAATTTAATTTAATTAATATTTAAAAATGCGATACCAATTAAAAAGTTTCTTAATTGCGTTATATATTTTAATTTTAATAAAATAAAAAATTTAAGAAATTGTATTTTGTTCAAAAATTTTTATTGATTTCGGTGAAATTTTCAAAAAATTGATTTACTACGTCATATATGAGTATTAAAACCTTTATAAATGTAAAATATATTAACTTTATATGCCTAATTAATTTCACACTTTTAAAATAGTTTTTGAACAGTTTAAATGTTTTATTATAGGTTATTATTATTATTATAGAATTATTATTATCATATATAGTAGGACAAGGATTAAAAGAAAGGGGAAGAGGGAAAGGGTTTATTTCGTGAGAATAGTGTACTCACTTTTTGGGGCACTGGATTATGGACAGAGCGTAAGGTATTCTGTTCCTTGCCGCACAAAACAAAAAAAGTTACAAAGATAGATACGTAACTGAAACTGTTTGACTGAATCTACGCATAGAAACCGCTAAATCCGTATCCCTGACAAGATGCAATAAGTGAGAGCACACATCATTACAGATGTGGATATCATTGTCATGGATAAAGTTTACATCGGCAAAAATATGAAATTTTTGCACTGAATAAATGTATGTTTTGAATTGCATTAAGGCAATAACTCATTAAATCTAATTTCTTTGACAGATTTACCTATATGGATTGTATATAGAAATTTTGCAATTTCGAATTCCATTTAATGGCAAAAATATATGAAGTCCGAAATTGAAGAATAATTAATGAACTAAAGCTGTTTTTATTGAGCTAGTTAAACGGATCATTTTGGAGACATAATCATTAATATAACTGCATGTTTATTTAGGTAAAACTTCCTCTGAACTTTTGTTTTTCAGTAAATTCAGTTAAGAACAAAAAGGAATAATGATTTTTCCTGATCAAAAAGAACGAAAGCTCGATATTGTGACAAAATAATGTTAAACTGATCAGTAATATTGTAACTAGTAATTATATCTAGAATACATCTGATTAATCGTTTTTTACAATACACGAATATTAAAAGAGTGGACTTGAGGTCAGCGTATGAACAACGTCGTAAGGCCCAACTTCCCTATTTAAGTGAAAGTAACTTGACATGTCCATAAACTTGGTCAAGCCCTTAATTTTGTAGAATGACAACTCTGTCAGGTCGGTAAAAGGAATAAAAACGGATCTTAGATTTTAAATCTTCTAGGTAATGATGGGCACTGACACATGTGGTAGAATAGAGAATCCTTCTTGTACGTAGAGTAATCAGTCGTAAAATAATAGTGAAAATATTTTTAGACTATTTGAGTTTTATAATTCCTCAAAATTATGTGTGTTCTGTGCTTTTTCTAAATTCTAATTATAGTCATTAACCTTAATGCTATGATTTTTTAAATTTCTAATATGAATTTTTAGCAAATCATTTATGTTTTTAAGTTTTTCTTTTAAAAATTTGTTGAAGAATAAAAACAAAAACTCCCATTATCACATAAGAATTTCGTAAAATGAAACTTGATTGGGAATTTTCCGAAAAATTCCCATTGTGTATTATAATTTTTATTTTAATTTTTTTTTTATTATATATTTGAAATTCTTTCAATTCTTATATTCGCAACAAATTCTGTATTAAATTTTCTTCTTCAATTGTTTCAATCAAACGAACTCTTTGGCTTTTGGCCAATATCCGCATCCGAGTTCGTGTCCATTGAGAGGTTTAGAAAGAAAAGCTTTTTATGGTTTCCTTTTATTTTGACTGTGTCGAAAGCTTTAATGAAAACTGAAAGGAAAAATTGCACACAGAAAATTTTTCCCAGACAGTTTTTCCAAATGGAAAATAAAACATGTGCAGACGCGAGCGTAAATGTAATTACGGCGCCGACAGAATTTTGTTAATTACATAAAATTTATAACAAAATAATTAACTCGCAGCTGTTTTTGTTTTGAACGTGCTAATATGCTGAAAAGAATTAAAAAAATTTAATTAAATAAATTTTGTTTCAAATTTATTACATCATTTGGAGTATTGTTTTTTAACGTTTCCTTTAGTTTTGTGCGAAACGTGAATGTGTGCAATTGTAAGTCTTCGGAATAGCCAAAAAATTTAATATTAAAAAACATAAACAAATCTAACATGAAACATTATGTTTTGTTTACAAAAACAAAATATTAAAAAACTCATAAAAAGTGTTAATTATAAAATAATTAGTGAAATTAATGAAAGCACAAGGCTTCGAACTGGTAAAGTAAGTCTGCGTGACAAAGTAAATAAGAAACTAAAGAAGACTAACAAAACTTATTGAAAAAATACTTTAAAAATAATAATAAAATATATATGTTTGTTTAGTTAAATAATATACATGTATAAATATCTTACAATTTATATATATGTTATATATATATACAATTTATCTATTGGACTTTTATATACAATTTATGTATTATATGTCCAGATCTCACCTTAGCAAAGCAACAACAATTTTGCATTAATTTTTTTTTGTTCTTAATAATAAAACTTAAATGTGAATATAAAAAATATATATACATTTATAGGCAGTACACATTTATATACAATACAGTATAAATATTTCAAGTAATTAGTTTCTTATCAAAAGATTTTTGATAATGGAAACAAATTCAATATTCCCATTCTCAAGTACATTTCATAAAAGTATTTTACAAAAAATTATTTGGAGCACGTTGAAGTAGCAGTTTGGTTCGCTTCACTTCATATTCCTACTGCCCTAATCCTCCTACTCATGTACTTTTGCATTGTCATCATTTTCCTATTATCAACAACAGAACGAAACCATGAATTTGTAAGAATGATTGTGGGTATTAAGTTTGAGTAAAGAATTGTTAAAGAAATAAGGTCATTATTCATAAGTACTAATGCCAGCTTACAAGAGAACTAAAGACGACTCTGTGCACTCGAACTATAAGAAAAAAAAACCATAAGTTAGTGGAATGACAAATGTCTGTCCTTTTCGAAATTAACGAGTATCTACCATAAAGTTGACCAAGCATACACATAGAGCATAAAGTAGAAATAGCAATTTTTTTCTTAAATTTATGTTCTAATACAAAGTGAACTTTTTTTTTACTAGAGTATTTATGGTAATTAAGTTCAAGTAGTTGAAACGCAATACGGAATATAAAAAACTGCTTAATGGCTTTTAGCAGTAAAAAGTAGTAAAAAGTGGAGAAGTCATTGACAATCGTCCACTTCCATAATAAGGTGGTGTGTGTACGGGTATCTGAAAAGTTTTATTGATCAATTATTTTTCTTTTATGCCGCAGGTTGAATTAAGCCTTCACTTCTTTCTGTTGTGCATGTTGCATCCCAATGAAAGGATGCGGTATGAACGTAGGCGGTTCTGAACACTTGCTTTGATTGTCATGGACTGTAATGGGAAAGTGTGA